ACAGGTAAAGTGTAATTATATCTCTTTTCCATCTCTGTTTTGCTCTGCTAAACAAGCCACACACAAGAAAAGGTCTCCATTCCCTCAACAATGTTAGTGGCCCTTTTTTGAACCTGTTCCAGTTTAACTTAATCCTTTTTGAACATTGACTGGAATGGTATAATATTGTGTGTGTGGGTGGGGGGGAGAGGAGGGCATGGTTTTACCAATGCCTTGTACAACAGTACCATTACCTTGTCTTTCCTGGATATAGCCCACCAATTTTACAGCTGACTTGCACTGAAGGCTCATGCTCAATCTATGATCAGCCCCTGTATCTAAGACCGTCTCGGCCTTGGTTGTCTTTGATACACCCAGACCCTTCTGTTCCTCAGTCTGTCCCAGAACAAAACAGTTCCTGAATCCCATTCTTGTCTGTAATCACACATTTGGTCACGATGACAAAATAGGAATACTTGGTCTGACCCATTTGGAGACTGCTCCATTAACACTGTTTTGCATCTATGAATTTTCTTCGGGTGACTGCATTCTAGTTGGCGAATGATCTATAAAAATCATATATTTTATTAAATTTCTTTGAAATCCTCCAACTTGAGAGGGAACCTATCATCCGTTTATGCTTTTTTGGAATTGCTGCAAAATGATTTAATTCACATAATAGTCACCATGCTTTGGAAATGATTAATGAGTTTGTGCAGGATTGCTACATTTCCAGGCAGTTGCTTACTGCATGAGACCTGAATTTTCTTTGGGGACTGAACTTTTCATTTGGTTAAAAGAAGGATTTGGGAATCCTGTCCAGAATTTCCTATATGTTTTATTAATCCCTTTTGCAGCTCTTAAAGTAAATATTTCAGAACTGAGCTTCTAGATTTCCCTCTGAAGACCGGTGGTGCTGTCTATATTCTACTATTACACCTAGAATTTGAATGACTCACCGAAATGAGGTCTAACAAGACATTTCTTGTTTGTGAATGGGTACAGTTAGGACTATATATCATGTTTCTGGAGGACCACTTCTAATTCAGAATTGGTGGAGGCACTAAATATTTGAGGCTTAAGTTCCTATGATCTTGAATTTTATTGCTTACAGATTATGATGTGGTTGAAATAGTTAATTAAGAAGCTGAAATGAACATGCTTCAACACAGATGCAGTGCTTTATTGCTCTTCAGTCATGTATTGTGTTGATTGATTAGATGCTGGAAGAAAAAAAGGGGGAATTTGCAATGCATTAAGATAAAAAAATTGAGTTAACTATTCGAAGGGATGCCGATAGTGCTCATTGCCATGCAACTGAAGCCCCACAAGCATTATACAAGCCTTCTCAATTCTTGAAAGAAGCATGTGAGCTCCATTCTACGGATGAGAAAGCTGAAAGAGCAAGCAATTAACTGACTATCTCTTAGTTTCACAGGTTACCTGTAGCAAACCTTGTAGCGGAACTCATAGGGAGGGGGTTATATGATCATTAGGACTTCAGTGTAACTGCACAAGATGTGCAAATGAAGACCCAGAAACCCCAAGGGATGATGATTCACTTCCGGAGTATGATAAAGTTGTCAAAGTACTACTTCAGAGATCTCGGGGCCAGTGAAGTGTAACTGTTTCACTGCTTCACAGTAGGGGTGATGTGGTTCCTTACTTGCTTCAGTGGATCTAAAAAGCCATGCAGGAGACTATGGCCATGCAAGGCTCAGCCTTACGGAGGGTGATTTAACATAAACAGAGCTTATAGAGAGGTGCCACAATCTTATGGCGAATAAAAAGGCCTTTGAATGTCTTGCGGGGGGGGGTGGGGTGGGGGGGCAGCTGCATTGAACCTCATATCAACTCTGCTCTCCCTTGTTCTGCATCATCCTGAAAAATGTAATTCTTTAAAATGAAGATTTAAGGCAAACAACATGTATTGTGATGCTGATGTAAAACAGTTCTCTGTATCATGCTGTGGGATGTTGTCTGCTGCTCCTCTGGCTATAGCCGGTGGACATGATGCAAGGAACCCGCTTTTTAATGTGTATAAACCCTAATACAATAATGCTATAAAGTATAAGTTAGGTAGGGCACTTGTAGCTTGGCACTGGATGGAAAGTTCTGGGCAATAGAAAAGTCAAAGTTACATTTGTCTGATATAGGACAGAAGTGGCTGGGCAAGTACAAGACAGACATGACTTGAGATACAATAGAAAGAGACAAATCTCCTCAAGTTTTCTATCCTATATAAATAGTTTTATGAGCACCCAGGGGGATTTCTATCTGGGCTAACACACATTTCTGGCATAGGCATTTAGCAGAGTGAGGCCCCAAGGTTGCTACAAGAAAGTTGCAGGCTGATCCTTGTTTCCTGAACTAGTCTCTTGTGTAAAAAAAGCTTTTTCACATTCAGTACTGTGCATCACATCCTACGCTGATGTGAGGTCATAGAAGAAAGCATGGCATAGGAGTTGGCAACTGGGGATTAGGAAATGGCAAACATTGTCCCAGATGGCTCTGTTAAAACTAGGCCTCTGGCCACAACAAAAATGGCTCAAATTACAAATATATGCTTGGCACAAGAGTTTTAAATATTGCCAATAGATCACTTACCACTGTACTGAATACATGCAAGTACATTCTGATGAGCGATTTTATTTATTTATTTTTACAAAAACTGAACTCTGCCATCTAGAGGGTTTTTTTTTTTAATATTAAGTACAGGCTTAATTTGTAATACCATGCAAAAGCATATACACTGGCTTCTAGGAATTTAGTGGAAAAGCAGTCTTATAGGTGAAATCGTCCAAATCTGTCTGAAACGTTTTATTTTGTAAAAAAAGCAGCTTCAAAACTATTCAGCTAATGAATAAAGCTGACCATAACAACTTCACCACAGAAGATAATAGAAATAGTTCCCTACAGTTTGTTTGCCTGTGGCTCCATTTCTCTTGTTTGTTTTTTTTTAAACACAATCAGTATATATCCTAAGGATGATACAATACTTTTTTTTCTGGGACAAACAATAAAATACCAGTGTCAGCAGGCAAGAAAACTACCAGCAAACAGGTTGAGTGAGATATGCTGCCATAACAACATATTCTGCATATAGGTATCACAAAAATGATATCTTTATATAGCACAGCTGGTTCCAAGACCAGGAAAGCTCAGCTCGCTCTAAAATACGCATATTCTAAATGTAAAGCAGAGCTGCATTAAAACAGTCGTTTGTGATGATTTACAAGTCACATTTGTTTTAACTGCCATTATGACAAATGACAAACTGCTGACATCAGGAATAGCTTCACTGATTAAAACCCTCTCTTCTCCCAAACTAGATTGCCAGCAGTATTGGGTAGCATCTTGCCTGATAATTGCACGTTTCTAAAACTCTTGTGTAATATAATTATTTCCCTCCGGAACTACAGAAGAGAAAGTTTTACTATGAGCACCCAGGGAAGCAGTATTACTTTTGTCGTTGATAGTTGAGGCCTGTGTTTTTGGAGGAAAAAAACCAGCGTTAACCTTGCTGATCAATATTAAGTCTGTTGTCTGCATTGCGTGTCTTGGCGTAAATGCTCTTGAAGTTTGGGTCCACATTATGCCATGGAGGAAAAAGGAAGCAGCTTGCCGCTGGGTGCCACGTGGGAGGAGTTCAGCCTTCATGGTTCACATGGGATCTCAGTCCAAAGAGCCTAGCAAAGGCTCAGAGCTGGGGGGAGGTGGAGGTCTCAGGCCACATAATCACATAGAGTCTAAATCCGATGATGCTCTACATGTGTGTAAGTGAGTCCTCAGTCTAGAAATATAAGCTATAGCAGTACCTTAGATTCACTCATATAACACAGCAGCACATAACTGAGAACAAGTAATCTTTAATTAGAGGATGAAGTAATTTAGTTTATATTTTATTCCTAACCTTGGTGTTCACTGCAATAAAACGTTTGCTCCCTTTATAGCATCAAGCTAGGAATAGGGAAACCCTATTTTGTCCAGATGCAGGACACAGTCTCCCCCAGCTGCAGGAAGTCTTAGCTGGTGAGCAAGAGGCCCGCTTGCCAAAGACAAATACGTGATTTTGCTAGCATTTTGTGTGAAAGATTTCAAACGTATCTACAGCTTGCATCACAGCTGAATAGGTATAACGAAACAAGCAACTAAAAGCGGTGCTAAATGATATTCTTGAACAGGCCCATCTCTTTGGTATTTTTACTTCTACTACTGTTCTGCTGATCTGCATTCGCTGCATTTCAGGAAGCAAATGTCACGTTCACTGCATTTCAGTAAACATATGCCAAATGATAGTTTGTATTCTGGCCTGCCCCAACTGCCATCCAGCGAAGGAGTCAACTTTGCCACATCTTTGGAAACTGCATTTGTTGGTCAAACCTACTGAATGAAAACAGCCACCGCAACCGACTGATCATTTGAACACGTCTCCAGGGACCTGGTTTCCTCACCTCTGACCTATTTAAATCATTGAGCAAAAATTTCCGCTGCACATTTAAAGTTTTACTCTTGGTTCTTGCTATCCTGGGATCCCATTGACAGGGAGTGGATCTCTTCCAGTAACATAGAGGATTGTTCAAATAGAGCAAGAAGCACGCAACTGGTCTGGACAATAAATGTGTGTATGTGGAGGGGTTTGTCCACCAAGTATTAGTTGTTCAGATGATGCATACGTGTGGAAGTAAGGACAAGCTGAGGCACTATTTCAATTGTTTCAGAAGAAGCCCAAGGTACATGGGAAGTATTTCTCTGTCATCAGCTCAACGACTGGCCCAGTACAAGTGGAAGTAAAATAAAGGCTCTGCAAAGGGATTAGCAAATGGCCCAGGAGCCTCTTGTTTCCCCCCTTCCCGAGCATGTTGCGGCCCACCTCTGGACCAACTCCTACCTGAAAAGGCAGGTTTCCCCTGCGAGGATCAACAGCCCCAAAGCCTCAGTTCCTGCAGCCTGACTGCTGCTCCGGTGATTGCCTTCAACTAGGCACAGCTGGGCTGGCTGGGGCTTACCTGTCTTCAACTCAGCATCTTGCTGCAGAGAGCACCTGGGCTTTCTCACAGAGCTCAGTAGGGAGAAGCAGAAAGTCTGGTTTCTTCCTGTACAAACTCTTCCTGTTGAGGAAATCTTTGCCATGCAAGGTAAGCGGCATCTCTTGGGCTTTTCCTTCAGTAGGGAAGTAAACAGCCAAGCTGTTCCTCCCTCCCTCTGTTGCTTTGGGAGCAGCTGTCTAAAGTGGCAGCTTATGGAGGATAAAGAGGAGAGTTATGTATTTTTCAACCCCCATCTGTGTCTGAGTCCCACTCTTCGCTCTCAAGCGAAGCAATTTTTGGAGTAGGGAAGAGGCTCAAAAGCAAATGGAAACCCTGTAGCCCCTGTGCTGTATGATCAGATGCTTGGTGTCTCTTTTAAAGCGGGTGTTGGGACTCCAGGCTGGGTGTGGATTCTGCTGAACAAAAGATACAAAATTGTGTGTGAAACCTATGCTGTATCTGACTTCCTTAATACACTCCTACTGTTACAGACATTTCAAGACTCTCTCTCTCTCTCTCTTCTCTAGTGCTGTGAGGGAAACCAAATACAATGCAAATGGCCAGACTTCTTATTCTGTAATGCTTTCCTCACTGGGAGTCCTTCCCCAGGGCTCAAACAAATGTAAAAGAGGAGGAAAACCAGAAAAACAAAGACAAACCAACAGAAAAAAAAAAACCTGGGACAGCCTTACCCTGAGCAGCACTCCTAATCTGCCAAGATGAAGTGAATAATTGCTACTAGCACTGCGTGGAAGCTAGTAAACTTAGCCAGTAAGTCCAAGCAAACTTATCCAGTATCTCTAATGGGGTAACTTAACAGCTAGTTTTACGCTCTACTTGAGAAGTGCATTGTTGCTCCATTAGTTTTTCTCCATGATAGTTTGCTCACCTTTTTAATAGCAAATGATCCTTTGCTCTCAAGGGCATGGCCAGAATGCACATTTCTGTGAACCTCACTGAGTTATGCTAATGACTGAAGTTGCAACTAAATGGATGGTGATGTCATTCGCTGCTAACTTGGATATTTAATTGGCTGCCTTACATAAAGATATTAGGTATAACAAGGTAGGAAAAGATGACAAAACAAAGTGTATTTAATACATTTTGATGACTTAAAGTTGCTTGTGGTACAAATGATAAAAATGAAAAGATAGATTGGGTTTTTTT